TCTGAAAGTCCTTTCAGACTTCTTATATGCAGCACATCCTTACTTCTCTATTTCATCATTCAAACTCCCAACTAGAAATTAGACTCCTTTCTAACCCTCTTTCCTATTATGCTACACAAAAGTTAAATTTACCGACATGTTGGTCATTAACTTTTTCATAGCCTAGTATAGTACAAGCACCTTATCTAAATAAATTTACCTTTCTGACGGTCACGACCATAGCTTTCTTTTCTTCATTAATACCTCATTTTCATTTTAGAGATAAAATTTCCTTCTCATGGAAGTTCTTTAATATACAAGAGATAAGATTAAAAGTAAATTCAGAGATAGATACAAATTAATATAAATTAAGGATCAGGAAACATACATGAAGAAGACCCTATAAACTGACCTTGAGCTGATTGAGAAGGGTCTGTAAAGTGATCTTCAGCTGATGAAGAAGGCTCAATGAACTGATCTTCACGTGATGGAGAAGATTCTGCAAGCTGATCTTCAGCTGACAGAGAAGACTCTGCAAACAGATCTTGAGATGATGACATAGTAGATACGGAGGAACCTTTTCTTGAATGCCGTAGGAGCATGGCCATCAAAATTAGCACAATAAGTGCAATATAAATTTGCTTCCATCCCAAGATATGATTGTTTCTAGCTTTCATCTCTGCTTATGCTCTAAAACAGATATGGATTCCTCAGTCAGATATTGAATCTTCAACTATGTTTTTAATAAGAAATTGAACTCCATAAAATAGGTTTTAGAAAAAATTGTCTATTTTCCCAAAGGCTATCTTTATGATTTATGATTCAAATATAACTTCATTGCAGAAAATTGATACTTTTTCCCCTCTTCCAGGTAATCAGAAAGACTACCAAGAAATCTTCCTGCTGCATTTTCAAAATTTTCCCAGTCAATCTTCCTCCTCCTGTCAATAAAATCTTAATTCCTCTCAGTTCTTTACCAAAACTCTAAAATTCATGTTTTCTTCTTTGAGCTCCATTATAGTTTGCATCGTAGCTTCAAAGGTTACCTTTAAGGTGAAACAACAAGAAACAATAATGACTTCTGGGCAATGGCAACCCTCAAAATGAAACTAGCAATAAAGCAGTAGGGATTAGCAAAAGAACCAAGAAAACACAAAAGGAAACTGAATCTGTGAGCTTCTAGATAGCAAGATTCTTTGCCATATGGAAAGACTTTATTAAGTCTATTGCATTGTACACTTGGAGTAAACCAGAAATTTTAGCCCTAAAATGCACATAAATCTCCATTGAATTCAATGCTTTGATCTCATTTCTCTCATAGTATTAGATGATAAAAATGTTTCAGTAATAGTAATAGGAGAAAAAAAGAATTTTTTTATATAGGGAAAAGGAAAGTTAAGGCAGGTATAAAGACAGCAGAACAAGTACTCCTGCTTGACCATTCACCATTTTCAAAATACTTCATCTTTGCTCCTTCAATATTGAAGATTTCTATAAGATATAGGGAATACCATTATTATTTTGCTCTTCTACAGCTTCTTTTATTCTGGGCAAACTAAGCAGCCATCTTTTACTGTATAACATATACTGCATACTTCCCATACTACTAGTCCAAAACATATGCAATTATCAAAAGGGAAGTAAATTTCTTCAACTAAAAGTAACAAAGCTACATTCATAACGACAAACTACATTACACGGATTCTTCATTTTATCCACACATATCCAAGTTTGACACTTCTTCTACACTTTAAATTCCTATAACACTTAGATCCTCATTTATAAATGTATAAAAAAAATTGCTAAAAACATTGCACATCTACTTATCTATGCCTAATACATAAACATATCCATGTCAGATCCCAAGTCCATGTAACATAGACTATAAACTGTTGTTGAAAACAAATACATAAATTTGTTTAATAAAGAGCTGATGAGATCTTAGATACTGTCTGGTTCTTTATTTATTACTTCCTTTTTGCTTTCAAAACCAATCATTAAAAAAAAAAACCGCACTGTTTTATTTTATTTTTATACAGAATAATTATATTTTAATTATTTATATATTTTTAATCAACTAAACTTGCAGTTCAAGAAATTAAACCAAGTTACATAATAAGCCATAACCAAAGAAATTAAAGAAAAAGAAAGAGAGGAAGTTGAATGAATTGGGCAATTGCAGATTGCATACCAGAGTATCTTGTCTCCTTGTTTTCCCGGAAAATCCCAGGCATGGGCTGCGTAGAACGTTGAGGCATGAATGCATTATGTATGGGATCTGTGACAAAGAAAGAAAAGGAAACGAAGGACATTTTGAAGCATGAAATAAAAGGGCGATGGCACAGGAACAGACTTCACATTCACTCCTGTTTGGTGCAAAAAAGTTCAACGCAAACGTGAAACCAAACTTTCAAATGGTAGTGTCATGACAGTTCCATGGATTTAGAGCGCTTTTAATTTCAGTCCCCTTCCTGGCAGCAGGGCTTAAAAATATAAATTAAAAAAAAAACCGCCGAGAAAATCAAAAACCATTGGAACAGTGGTGTTCAGTTTGGCTCGCATTTTTAATATATTCGATTGGAATACTCATTCGGTTCCATTTGTTTTAATTAAATCGAAATTATTGGACAGGAAATAGTTATTTTATATGTAAATTCAAATAAATTAATTAATCTTAATATATTTTAAAATAAAAAAATAATCCACGAATAGAATTGAATTGATAGAATAATTCAATTCGATTTCCAAAAATATTTAATTTTTCGTTTCATTTTCACCTCATTTTCAAATCATTACACATTGACCGAACTTTTTAGTTAAAAACCGATCGAATCGTATGCACCTATTTGACAGTCTTAAATAATTAGGCATTGTCATAGCAAAATGAAGATTGGAATGCAAAATAAATAAGAATTATAAACCATCAATTTATTTAAATATAACTGAGGGGACATGAGATAAGCCTTTGATGTTAGCGTGGTTTAATAATTTTATTATGAATATCTAGCATAATCATGTAAATAATTAAAAGTTATATATATTTTTTTAAATTATAGTAGTAAAATACGGTAAAAATTCCAGGAAACGGCAGCTAAATGAATATAGTGTTTGAAACATAGGAAATAATAAGAGATGAAGATTCCCTTCTTTTCTTTTCTTTTCTTTTTTTTCTTTTTATATATTAATAGTGCCCCGCTGTACATACATGATCAAACTAGTAATCATGTTCACTGATGACAGCCTCAGCATGTTCAAACCAATCTTACCTAAAATTAAGGTTTCAGATGCCATTTTCTCAGGTAAAAAAAAAATTAAATGGAGAAAATGAAAGAATTGAGGTTATTTAAACTGGGAAGAATACCAGCTTGTGTATCGTGCCTTCATAAAAATGCATCCGGCCCTATATCTGTGCAATAAGGAGTTCGTTCCAGGTGTCTGGTACACCAGGTAGGCACCAATGCAAGCAATCATTGATACCCTGAGTTGGCCTAATACTGTAACCAGACATGTGAGCTTCATCTCTGAGTTGAGATATGGCGGTTATATCCAAAATCTTTACCTTTGTACCCCTAACAGCACTCTCAACTACTTTGTCAATAGATTCATCCTGCAAGACCTCGCTACCTCCAGTCAAGGGTACTGTATTATTGCAAGTACCCCCAGTGTTCCAATCTCCATTACGGAAGTGCCTTGGAGAGATGGTCCTAAAGAATGCTTTCAGTCGAGGGTGTGAGGGAAGTTGTGAATCTAACCACCTGACAACAGTATGCACTGTGAAATTCTTGGCATTCCTAATATCTTCAAGTTCTTTATTCTCATTGGGCTTCCCATTCACATGCATCACCCAACGGTTTGCTGTAAGCTTCCCTCTGTTCCAGTGGTGACCTGTATTTAGAACTAATACATCAAATCGGTGAAGGAATCGTCTTAGGAAAGCTGGTGGACGGTCCAAATGCATGGCAATATCAGAGGCTTGGTCTGTGCTGTTAATAGGCACTAGGTCAGAGAGGCTTGCCGACCAATAATACAAAATGGTGGTGTTTGTATTTGGGAACCGATAAACCCATCCATCAGGACGCTTGGCTCCACGAGGTTTGACAAGTCCATATTCCCTTGCAACATCTTCAACTTCTGGACTCTCCTCCCCACCAGAGGCCATACACATCATGGATTGGAACTGCTGCCTGCCTAAAGAATCTCCTATAAATGCAATTGTTTTATCCTGCATTCTGAAACTTATAGCCATAGTTAGAATAAAACAAAAGAACACCTATAGATAGAGAACTTAACAAAATTTAAAACCTTTTGCATAATCCTGATAAAAATTAAGACAGTCGCAAAAGAAAAATGCATCATAAAATGAGTAAATTTCCAGCTTAGTAGTGTAGAAGAAACCACAATGTAGTTACCATCATTAATCTTTATTAATTCTTATCTTTTCAAAATGGTGAACTTAGTCAGTAGTGAAAGTGAGATGTGTTTAGTACTAAAGAAAAAACAGAAAAAGAAAAGTGACATGAGAGATTAAGGAGAGATTTCATTTTGACAGAAAACAGGTAAGCATGACTCCCATCCTGATAAGAGCAATAGCTCATCAAAAAGATCTTTTTCTTTCTTTTTTTTCTTTTGTGACATAGGCTCTCTAGGAACGATAAAATATAATTAGATTAACCAAATATTACACAAAGCTGAATGGATCTCAAAAACTAGTAACAAACCATATTAAAAACATTAGGAGAAAAAAGAGAGGAATGTTGTGGAGGGCATAGGAAGCAGCAATAATAAAAAGCCATAAACAGAAGCTTACCTTCTCAAGAATGAGAACCGCTCAAACTCTTGCATTTTACAATTTTTGGGCTGCCATCGATATCCCTCAAAAGAGAAGTCTGTCCGTTGGGTTAGTCTACAAGCCCACATTCCTGATAGCCACTGTTTACATCCAAACCCAGAATAAAATGGCCGCCTGCTGTCAGCAACCCATCTACCCCTGGCATAATTACAATCTGAGTGATCAAAAAGAGGAAATACTCTTAGTGATACAGAGAACGAAAGTAAATACGAATGAAAATCTCAAATCTGAACTAGTGAAGCTTCTCAATAAATTTAAATACTGCAAACATACATGAAAACATCGAAAGCTGCAAGTAATGTGCCACTAAGAGAGAACAGGAATTATAAAAGAAAAAAAAAATAGAAGTGAAAGAAGACCATAGAGATATTTAGGAATGTCCCATTTTGTTAAACTGCAGTGAAATTTATTTCATAGTTTTCCATATAATTTAAAATACTATTTTGGTTCTTTAGTTTATGCAAGCCATTAGATGGACAAGAAGAAGTATTACGCCCGATATTAAACATTGGCCTCTGAGATATTTGTTCACTTAGAATAGCTGACAGTGAGCCATATCTTGAGATTTTCTTTCATTAGGCATATATTGTTTCTATTTCACTTAGCTTCATTTAAGTTTTGCAGATTACCACATTTCATTACTCTTATGGATTGCAGGAGAAGGTAATTCATCACTTCTGGCCACATTCTGAGTCATGTTATTGACTCTCATACCTTCCAGGAGAAATTCATTGATCAGGTATATAGTTTCCCATTCTGCAATCAGAAGTTCTCTTAGACACAAGAAAGCTAGAAGACTTTCTAGATCAATTAATAAAGAGCACAAAAGTTTAGCAATTCTATCCCTCAAAATGAGTTTTTGACACTTGAAGGACCTCAGAAGTGATACCAGGAATATAATTTCCCTTTTCTTTATTAATCTTTCTGTATTCTGCTACAAGTTCAACACACAACCAGACCTTTGCTAACAATCTTGAACCAATACCATAGACTTAAAGCCTTATTTTTTCTCCACTACGTTAACTGTAAATGACTAATCAACCCAAGTATTGTCTTCACTTTCCTACAAGCATCCTGAAACTTGGCTTCCCTTAGGTCATACAAGAAGCCCATGAAACCACACCCCCTAAAAACCTTTTAAGTGCACAAATTAATACTAATTAGTAGTTGTGAATCCCCAAATTTAGCAGCTGAGCAGATTCAAATTTCAAGTAATCAGGTGAGAAAACTGAATCATTTAAATCCCAGCATAAACAATCAACCCTTTCCCTAACAATGCCCCAAAAGTTCAAGGCTTTGACAAACAAGTAATTAATTACACCCACCCTGTATCTCATATTTACTACCTCCAACTTTTAAAGTGATTGTGAGAGAGAGAGATGAAGAAAAGCATCAATTATCAGTACAAAGTAGGTTTAATCTAGATGCAGCCACATGATCGATCAACAAAATAGTTAAACCCACATTTCCCAAGATCACCCATTAGATTTTGTACTCAAACCATTTTTAAAAAGGCTTCCTGAAAAGCACTTCAATTCATCTCCAATTACAATCAACAGCCAATGCACTTCACTTACCTAGGTCTAGGTGAAGAAATATTCACTCTGACTGCCTAGCATCCGACCAAACGTTTTTATATACTCAAGCGCATTTGTGCAGGTGATTACAGGTTCCCCTTGAAAGGGCCCAGTGTTCTTACTGTCCGTTGGAAATAAAATTGGAGAAGATCGAACCATCAACTAAAATTATAAAAGCAAGCACTATAGAAGTGATGAAGTAAACTTGCAAAAGTCTAAAAGAATTGCAAAAATCAGCCTTTGAGTGCGGCTGTAATATTATTTCTAGCGTTTCCATGGTTCAACTACTTCTAGGACTTAGGTTAGTCTCTAATTCCATTAAGAATGGTTGTCAAGCAACCACACTAACTATTTCTACAGTCAATTTCTAATTCCAAGGCACTAGCTCCACTTAAAGGTCAATGTGCCTTCCTCCACCAAGGAGGCGCTATGGTTACCGCCATCCAAATTAAGAGATCACAATGGAATGCTAAAACTAATTAAAAAATTATAGCATCGTACATAAACAAAATTACGTAACAAGTTTATTATGGAGCAAAATCAATTAATTTCTACCCTTGCACAACTAAGCAAACCATATAAAAGAGTGTTAGTGCTAATACAGACTGCTAAAAAGCCAACTCTCTCAACATGGTTATTCTGTAAGTTAGATTAGAATTCAATCAGGCATTGTGATAAGAAGCCCAGTGGAAAGAATAAGTTGAGTTTGCATACAAGAGAGTTGGAAAGTTTACTTAAAAACAAAAGCAATTTCATTCTCAACCTTTGTTTTTGGAGGTGGATAACTCCTCCCCATCACTATCTTTAACTTCAGAAGTGAATGTAGTTATAGACGTTGTTGGTGAAGCATTATGGTCCCCCACCGTGTTTGTTTCTTTTGTCAGCATTGACTCATTTACTTCCTCTCTATGCCCTTTAGGGCTCATGGAAACTGAAGAATTAATTGGTGGATCCACAAGAAACTCTAAGTGAAACAAGAAACAATAGGAAAAGTCAATGAAGAATTTAAAATTAAGTTTAAAAAATGTTGCTGAATCCAAATATTCACAGATAATATATCTAGTAAAGTAAATAAT